TTAAGATCTTTCAAGATATTTTACAAAGAAAATATTTTCAAAATATTATGATGCATTATGTGAAATACTATTTTCTTCTTTATAATCTTTATCTTGAGAATTCCTTTGTTTGGATTTGTGTTTGTATTAAAGAGATAAGAAGCAGCCATTCCTTATTTACTTTCTCTTCAAAGAGAGAGTCTTTTTGCTTCTATAGACTTCTGGTAAACACCAGCATTTGCCTTTTTCCAATATAAAACACTAATACCACTTCAGGTGAAGCAATTCTTACCTCTGATCCTTTTCACAATGGGCTGAACAAATCCACAAGATGTAAACCCACAACAGTTTAAGATAAAGACAATAATGTTTTCTGGTTTAGTCTAACTCCCTTTGTTAGTCTGTATTAGCGTATTCTGTATCTTTCTTTTCTGTTTTTTTTTTTTTTTATTGGCAGTGATCACTGACCTAATGATTTCAAAGAATTCCCCAATGTAGTTTCAAGAACTTTTTCTTGCACTTTAATGGCTAGTCTAGCATAGCCCTGGATAACCCATTATGTTTATCATTCTGACACGAATTAGGACCAGTTCTAAAAATTTGTGTTGTATTTGTTGTCATTTAACTTCACAAGTAATTTTATTGAGTTACTCATTTTTCTTAAAGCCCCTTTATAATGTACTTCTTGCTTATTTCCTAGGGCATCTTGGCATTCTACCATACAATTTTGCATATTTTATTGAGCCTCTCAATCACTTCAGGCAGCCATGTTTTTGAACTTTCTTGTTCCAAAGATTGCTTTTTACATCTGTCTCTGTGTTAGCTTAGTGCTATAGCGCATCCCTAGGTCTAAAATCTAGGCATCTAGGTAAGACTAAGTTGGGTCCTTTTCAATGGATTCCTCACAGTGGATTTTATGTTTCTTTTTAACAAATTCCACAGTACACTATATTGCATCTTAACATTGCTTTTTAGGGCAAGTATGGTAAATTGCTCTTCAATGACACCTTTCTCTCTCAATTATACAGGAGTGCTAGAAAAGATTCCTAAATTAGATTAATATCATAAATCTCTAAAGTGTAATGAATCCCAGCTTTAGTAAAATCTAGTTGCTGATATTTAATCTGTTTCACCGGAACGTGCTCAAGGAGGTTTAGAAAATATCATGAGAAAGATGTCAGAGGCACTGTGGTTTACCCATCGCTCTGTAAAGAACCACTTGAGACACTAATAACTGTTTCTCAAGAGGAATCTTGAAGCTTTTTCCTTCATCCTGTACTCTAAAAGTTATTATGTTTATCTGAAGGAGAGTCACAATGGGTGATCCTGTTATCAAGAACCCTCTATACTACGGATGACCCTTCAAATCCAAGCATAATTCAGAATAGTATATCAGCTTATAATTGCAGGTCAAAAGGTTTGGAGTGGGTTTTTTTACCTTTTGGTTTGGTTTGGTTTTGGGGGTTTTGGGGGGGTTTTGTGTTGTTTGTTTTTTTTTTTTTTTTTAATATAAAAATATTGCAAAACTAGTACTAATCTCCAGTCTATTCAACCTTGGTCAAGCCTCAGAGCTCCAAACTTTTTGAAACAGTACTTCAAGCCACTTTTAATGGCACTGCTTTTTCTAACGTTCATCATTGCAGTAGGTGTTCTTAAAGTCAATAGATTTCTGAGATTTACTTATACTTTCTCTCATCTATCTTCTTCTGTCAATATTTTATCAAAGTAATTTTCATCTCATCAGACTGCTTTTACCACTAATTTAACAGTGATTTTTACAGCTTTTAAATTTTTTTTAACCTTATGTTTCCTTTTTTTGTTGTATATAAAATATAAAACCACATTTGGAATAAATTCAATTTTTCAAGTCTCTGATAAGTTGTGGAGAAATTAGGCGTCTGAATGATGTAAGAAGGCAAAAGGTTAGCTTCACTACAGGCTTTATAAATTAAGTTAAAGAACAATTCCTATAAGATCTGTTATAATATTTCCAGATGTTTTAAGAGTTTACTGAGATGAAAATAAAATATGGAGGTGGAAGTTCCTTTGCTCCCAGAATTTGTAGTAATCACATTTAATAATATTTATTTCTGAAATTGATTTGGAAGAAAAAAAAAACAAAACAAAATAACAACCACAGCGAACTCAAAGTTATTCTCACTTGAGCAATTTAGTATTTAGTTAAAAGATACAACTGACGTTTCAAGACCTCAGTTCTTGTCTTGGAAAAGTTGAAAAACATAACTTCCTATCTTCCAAGAAGCATGAAAAAAAAAAAATACAAATGTTAAAATCTTGCTTCTGTAGTGAGATACTTCATTCTTAATCTTTGCTAGAAATTCAACCCCTTGCCTGCTACCAGGGCACTAAGTCTCTTTTGCAGTTGATCTGCAGGTGGAGCAGCTTCTGGTTTTAAGACGCAAGTTTTCAGCCTTTGCCATCACCGGCATGTCTATTTCCCAACCCCATAGGTACAGACTCTACCACACCTCCTTCAGCAGAAGTGGAGATAGAGGCTTTTCTTGTAGCTAGAGGGTCTCAGGGAAGATCCAGTTATCTCTTTCTGGTGATCTCTTTTTTTTTTTTTTTTTTGCACAGGCTGCTGAAACAACTCCTTCACTTGGTGACACAGATGTTCTACTGTCCTGGGTTCAGCAGTAGCAGTCATGTTTTTTCCTTTGTGTTAGCTGGTGCAGTGCTGTGTTTTGACTTCCAGCCTGGGAACAGTGTTGGTGAAACTGATGTTTTTGGTTCTTGCTAAGTGATGTTTACCCTGACCAAGGACTTTGTGAGGCTCATGCTCTGCCAGGGAGGAGGGGAAGCTGTGAGGAAGCAGAGGCAGGTCACCTGACCCAGGCTAGCCAGGGAGGTATTCCATACCACAGCACGTCATGCCCGGGGTGGGGGATAACTGGGAGTTACCTGGCAGGACACAGGCTTCCAGGTGGGACTCGTTTCTTGGCTGGTGGTATCGTATTCTCTTCCCTTGTTATTTTCTCTTATCATTGTTGTAGTTGGTGGTAGCGGTGGTAATTTGTGTTGTACATTGGTTGCTGGACTGTTCTTGTCTCAACCCGTAGGAGTTGCACTCTTTCGATCCTCCTCCCCGTTCTTCCGGGAGCGGGGAAGGGGAGAGCCCGGGGGAAGGGCCTCGATTGTTGTCAGCCCGGCACCACTCACTGGGAGTGAGTGAACAAGCTGTCTGGCTAGGGTTTAAACCACGACAGTTCTTTTTGGCACCGAATGTGGGGCACGAGGGGTTAATTTTTTTCCAAAACAGGATTTAGAGTTTGGTTGGTTTTGGGTTTTTTTTTTTTGTTTTGTGTTTTTTTTTTATTATTATTATTTTGTTGGTTTTTGGTGTTTATTGAATTATTTTTTTATATATGTATTTTTGGTTTGGTTTGGCTTTTTTTTTTTTTTCCCTGTTGCGGTTTTACTATGGGTTTTTTCAGGTGTTTTTGTTTGGTTTTGCATTAGTTTTTTTCAATTTTGTTTCCTTGTTGTTTCTTTTGTTTCTGTTTCAGCATCTCTCTGTCCACCATGAGTGCTTGTCAATGAAAACACAGTGGTGCAATTCAGTGCTCCTTTCTGTTGCCTGCCTGCATTTTCTTTTAGAAACAAGTTTCTCTTTACTTCTGGACCTTAACAGGTGTCTAAGATATGCAGCTGTATTCCAACAGCAAGCAGTACTCTTCTGGAGCTTATTTGAATCTTTTTCAAGGTGTAGCAGTAGTTCTTCTTCATTCATAAATCTCTGTCATTTCTTTCCTAATCCAAAGACTCTTTCAGAATACTTTCTTTCTTATTTTCCATTCTGCAGGATGCAGATGGCAAGGCAGAGAGATACAACTGTTGTAATTCTTTCTGCTTTTTTACTACCAAAGCTAAAGAGCCAGTCAAAGAGTAGTCTTGTGACACACCATGAAATTACTGCAAGTCCTTTCCAACCCTAACTATCCTATTCTAACCCGAACTATTCTATGATCATATGAAGTGTGTACTCAAACAGTATGAAATAACAACAACCCTATAAGGTGCTTCCTAAACTATATCCTAAATATATCCTATATCCTATAATCTGTTTCCTAAACTATAACCTAAATCTATCCTAAAGTATATCCTAAAATTTGGTTCTAAAAGACATAGTAATAAATGAATAAACATAGTTATAAACACAGTAACAAGTGTATTAACAAATGTAGTAACCACCGTAGTAACAATGATAGTAACAAATGTGGCAGTGAACATGGGAAGCTGAAGTCCAGAGGCCAGCTCCCCACTTGGGGAGATGCACCAGCAGGTGGGGATTTGCTGGTGAAGCTGAGGAGTGAGCCAGCAAGGCCTCCTGAGAGGGCTGGGATAGGTCTGAGGGCGCTGCTCTGGCTCCGGGACAAGATGGTGGAACCTTCCATTCAGAGCAGGACATGGTGGCTCTGTCCTCGCCGCTGCCGAGGTGGTGCTGGGGCCACAGGGTGGAACTCCAAGGCCAGGAAGCAGAGTGCATGCGGGGAATTCAAAGCAGTAAAAGGGCACCTGCAAGGGCAGAGTCAGAAAGCACTGATGAAGCCATGAGGGCAGGAGCAGGAGGGAATTGGCTCCTAGGTTTTTTTTGGAAATATGCTGTAAAAGAGGTCATTGCTAGCACAAGAGAGAGGCTCCTTACAGGTTCCCTACTGGCAACTACAGTGTTGCTTTTGTCCCTTCTCAATACATGTGATACCTTCAGAGCAGGGGAAGCTGAAAGAGATGTGCAGTGCCACCATGCCAGGCAGCAGGGTTCAGCAGGGAGCCTGGGAGGCAGGGAGCCTGGGAATCCGGGATATGGTCCTTTCCAAAAACCTAGCAGCAGCATCCCTTGCTTTGCCATACTAAAATCACAGGTTGGCAGGCAATGCTGGGTGAGCATGTTTCTCCTGACATACATGTTCCCCCAAGGGAAGGACCATACTGTACACCTCAGGAGTGTTTCCTATACTCAGGGCTTGGCAAAAAGATGGAACACAGGCTCTGCTACATACCTGGGTGCCTTGTTCTTCCCCTGCTTGAATTTCTTCAGTTGCCCATCTCTGAGAGCTCAGTTTTGCTCTTCTTCTGGCACAGTGGCCCGTCGCTGCCCTTTTCCCAGGCTGCTCTTCATTTCCTGGTGTTGTGTGAAGAGCCTGAGAACCTTTCCATTCAATAGTATTGTGAGACAGGTAAAGCCATGATTACCCTGAGCCAAGCAAAGCCAGGCAGTTTTATCCTTTCTCCCTGGAAAATCTCGTCTGCTGTTCACTCTCAGGAGCAACAGGAGGCACCTGCAATGGCAATGTGTAGGTTAGCAGGGGGCAAGGACCTCCCTGCACAATTTCTACCCTAACTCTAAAAGGTGCATGCTTTGGATGGGTTTGCTCAGCTCAGCTGAGCCAGCTGTGGTGGGATCACCTCACAAAGCGGGATGGCCAACCTGCATCAGCCTTGTTCTGCACTTTGGCAGAGCTGCAGGCTGGTGGATGACCGTGCTTGTCTCTGCAGCGACAGCAGCCCCACCTTCTGAGGGGGGAGGCTTTTGTTGTCACACTTCTTGCGCACTTCACTTACCTCTGCTGTTTCCAGCTCTGCTTGTGCTGCTGGTGTCTCCTCGTCTCCCTTGCTGGCCAACCCGGCCACCTGCTCTCCAAGGAGTTCCTCATGGTGTTCAATAAGGAACTCGAAGAGCTCCGTCACCTGCACACAGCAACCCCCTGGATTCACTGAGAGGGCTGATGAGGGCTCAAACAGCCTTTCCCAGCCTGACCTGTGCTTCTGTGCAGGAAGGTGCAGCCATGGGGCTGCTCTTCCCAGCTGCTGACCCATGGCTTTGCTGACTGGAGGAGGCAGCCAGGACCCTCCGAGCAGCAAAGCTGGGCTGGGCTGGTGACGCTGTAGCTGGGTGGTCAACACAGAGTACCTTCCCTGTCTCCAGAGCAAGGACATCAAGGGGCAGCTCCTGGGGTGGGCTCAGGAGGTTTGGTGCCAGGCAGATGGCCAGGTTCCCAGCAGTCATCTTCGTCGTGGCCACATTCTTGCTGATGCTGATAAGCAGTGACAGCAAGTGCCAGAGCAGGAGAAGGTTGGCGTCTGGTAGCTTGCTGGCCACCCTGAGGGAACAGGAGCACAGCGTTGACAAAGTTAGCATTGACAGCACAGGTCTCCCAGGCTGATCTCACCCAAGGCCACTGCCTGCTCTACAGCAGAGGGACTGCCTATGCTGAGATACAGCCACCTCCCTCCCTGCCCTTCTGTAGGAGGTCCTTGTTGCAGCAATCCCCAACACCTGTGGGAAGTGATCCCCAGAAAGAAAAGCTTTTTGGTGCCCCTCTCCCACAAACATAAACCCCACAACACCAGGAGGTGGCTTGTAGGAGCCATGGCTATTTCAGGCAGGCCGTTTCTTTGCAGCTCACTCCCAGCCTGTGCCAGTCCCTGCTGGCTGCGCCACACTTACTCTTTCAGTGCTGCCAGCCTGTCCTGCCTGCTGGTCTTCTCCATGGCGCACATCCACTCCTCGAAAAGCTGGAAGTTGGGGAGCTTTGAGGGGATCTTTTGGAGGAGGTCCTGCAGTGCCAAGGGCTCCATGTGAGGCTTTGGCCACTGCACCCAGGAGCACCTGCAGCATCCCCAGGCCTCTGGCTCATGAGCAGGCAGCTGGGTTTCTGCTTGTGCTCCCGCAGGCACCCATCAGCACCAAGAGAGCCAGGAGCTGCAGGGCTCTGGGTCAGCAGGGCTCACCTTCAAGAGGACAGCCAGCAGCAGCACGGGCTGGGTTTCCAGCTGCACTGGCACCCCACTGTCCAGGGCCTCCCTGACCTTGTGGCAGGCATGCTGGCTGGCTGCCAGCCGGAAGATCCCCTCCGTGGATGGGCCATGTTCATTGAGCAGAGCCAGAAGGTCCTGAGGGCACAGAGGTGGAGAGTTGCTGGGCTGGAGACAGGCACTTAGATAGGTGCTGGGGACAGCCTCTCCCTGGAGGAGCCAGTGGGACAGGATGGGATGGGATGGGATGGGGTGGGATGAGATGAGATGGACTGGGATGGGATGGACTGGGATGGGACGGGACCCCACAACCAGGCTGGCTTGCCTGGATGGACTGAGGCAGCATGCCGTCCTGGCTGCAGAGATCTCCCAGGGGCCAGACAAAGAGAGCTCCCACACCAGCAGAGCCCAATGGCCCTGGTGCCCCTACTGCAGCCAAGGTCCCTTGCCATGCCAATGGCCAGGGCAGCCTCCTGCTCCTGTGAGTCCCGCTTCCCAAGAGAAACAGAGTAAAGAGCCGTGGAGGAAAAGCACCAGGAGAACCCCCCCAGACTCCCTCGGTGCTGTCCCCCCCTGCCACCGAGGGCACAGAAGAGGCGGCAACATATTGGACTGAGGGGACATGGGGTTCAGCTCTCTCCTGCTGCAGAGTGATGAGGGTGGACGTGCCCTGCGGGAAGGGCAGCAGCATCCCCATTGCCACACATGTGCCAGCCTGCAAGAGCAGGAGAGAAGGGCCATCCTGCCCCTGTCTTCTCTGCACTCACCATCCACGTGGCCACGTAAACCCTCACTACTGGAGAGGACAGGAACTGGCAGCTGCCTGGCACCAGCCTGCAAGAAATGGGCTGCACTCACCAAGGAGCCCCACAGCAGAAAGGGTCCCTGGAGAGCTGCATCAGCCTCTGGCTGTGTGTGAGAAGTGGGGATGGGTGAGATTGCACTGCAACAGACCCTGACCTGGGCCTGGTGCTGTAGCAGCTTCTTCAGGCTGCCGGCATCCTGTGTCATCTCCTGGGCAAGGGGAAAAGAGCAGAAGGTGAGGAGCGATGCAGCTGACGCTGGGCTGGAGGAGCCCCTGGGGACAGAGCAGAGGCAGGAGGGACACTCACAGCATGGCGGCCACTCAGCTCCTTCATCACCATCCTGATGGATGGCAGCTGGGTCACCCGGGCTCCCTGAACTCCTTCCCGTGGTCTGTGCATGGGGAAGGGGCAGAGAAAGAGCTGTGTGAGACCCAAGCCAGCTCTTCCCTCTGCTGCCAACCTGGGGAGTGCTTCCATAGTGCCCGGAACAGCCGGTACCACCCAGGAGTGGAGCGGGAGCAGCGGGAATGGCGAGGATGGGGCTGGGCAGGTGTTGGCTGGACACAGCTGGATGAAGCATCTTCACCAGATGTGCCTGCTCAGCAGTGGGGGCACCTCTGCCTGCAGCTGTGGGGCACCTCTACCCAGCTCAGAAGAGGTGTTTTCTCATTGTTTGGATGCCACTCATGGAGCATCTCCCCATGATGGGAGCACAGGCAGCCCAGGCTGCAGTGCCAGATAGGGCTTACCCAAGGAGGGTGCTGATCCAGAGTTCCTTCACTACTCGGGAGCTGCCAAAAAAAGAGAAGAAACAGCCTCAGTGCCTGTTGTGCCCCAGCAGATGATGTCCCATGGGGCGGGGCAGGGAGAGGTACGGCCCACCCCTCTGGTGGGATGTTGCACCAAGACTCACCAGAAACTGACAACACAGGAGCCACAGGGCCAGAGGAAGACAAGGGAGCTGGAGGCATTCCATTCCTCCTCCTCTTCAGCAGCATCACCAGCTCAGCCCTTCCCACTGCTCAGCACCTGCAGCAGGCCCAGGGCCAGGCACAGCAGCAGGTGAGGGGTGCTGCCAGGTCTGCAGAGAAGAGCAGCAGGGAGTCAGATGGAGGTGGCCAAGCCCAGTGGCTCCCCTCTTGTTCCTGCCTGCCATGGGCATGGCCACAAGTGCATCCAGCACCAAAGTGCCAGGGGCCTGGGGCTGCTCCTTGGCTGTCCCTGCTCTGGTGCCTTGGTGCTAGGGGCAGGGCTTGGGAGGAAAGGCAGCTGGGCTCTGGTTTTCTTACTTGGTGTTGGCGATGACCAGGGTGTCTCTGAAGAAGAGGAGGAGGTCCCTCTTCTTCTTCCGGCCACGGCCCTGGGTCACCCTCACACGCTCCCTGAGCAGCGTCTCAGGCAATTCCAGATCGGGCTCACGGTGCTGGTCGGGGCAAGGGTCATCCCTGCAGAGCAGATGGCGTTTGGCTTGAGCAAGGTGGCTGCTGCTGGTCCTTGCTGTGCCTGTGCATCCCCAAGCTGTGGGGCAACTCACCTGGACCCACAGCAACAGAGCCACTGCCCCATCCTGACAGGGCTGGGGGAAGACACGTGTAGAAAACTCCTTGAAAAATACAACAGGAGTACTCCTCCACAAGAGGGAAGTACCGCCAGTGCCTCTGGTGCTGCCACTCGCAGCACCGTTCGTGCAGGCACTGGAGCTGTTGCTGGGACAGCACTGGGTTAGAACGGAACACCATTGTGACCTTGGTTCTGGAACCTGGGGGTCCAGATGGGGGGAGCCCTGTGGGCCTCTCCCCAGGATGTCCATGTCCAGCCTTGGCCCCAAGGTCTCCTGCTTTAGAACTGCTGTGTCCACCAATGGAAAGTCACTGCTCCTGCAGCCATGGTCTTCCCACTCACAGGACCTGGGGAGCCCCAGGTCTACCATGAATATTGAAGACTGAGGCAATGCAAAAACATTAAATGCCTCTGTTTTTTCTTCATCCCCAATTTTCAGTGGCCACCTTCGTAAAGTAAAAGTCCAGTACTTTCCTTAGGCCTCTGCTTGTTATTAGCATACTTCAAAAAGCCTTTTGTTGTTGTCTGACAGAACACTGACCAGTTTCATCTCCAGCTGAGCTTTGGCCTTTTGTGATGTCTCCCTCCATGTGTGAGCCACAGCTCGGCAGTCTTCCTGAGAAGTTTGACCTTGCTTCTAGAGAGCATACAATTTCTGTTCCCACCCCAGTTCCAGGAGGAGTTCCAAGCTGCTCTTCTGCTGCACCTGCTTGACTTCCATTGACACAATGGGAGTGCTGCTCCTGTGCTTTCAAAAGATGGTTCTTTAAAAGCGAGCAGCTCTCATGGTCCCCTAAGTTCTCAAAAGCTCATGCCCAGGAGACCCTGTCAAGTAGGTCCCTTTGTAGCTTCAGTTTTGCTCTCTTGATACCCAGGGTAGCAACTCTGCTGAACTTTTCCCTCATGACACCCAAAAGCTTGAGCTCAACTCTTTGGGATTAGGGTGGCCAAGACAGCCTCCCACCATCACACTTCGCATGCATCCCTCTTGATTCACAAAGAGCAAGCCTAGGAGGGCACCTTTCCTAGTTGGCTCACTGAGTACTTGTGGAAAGTAGCTGCCTTCCCCAGACTTCAGGAATTCTGCAGCCTCACTTGTCCCAGCAGTGACAGTATGGTATTGCCAGCTGAGGTGTGGGAAATGGAAATCTCCCAGAAGGGTGAGAGCTACCTATCCAGAAATTTCTCCTAATTGCCTAAAGAATGCTGTCTGTGTTTGTTGTGGTTTAAGCCCAGCTGGTAACTCAGAACCACACAGCCGCTTTCTTGCTCCTTCCTTCTCCCCCCGCCCCAGAAAGCCTGCTCCCAGAGAAATGGGAAGGACAATCAAAAGAATATAACTCTCATGGGTTGAGATAACTGGTAACTAAGGTATAATACAAAACCACTACTGCTATCACCAATAATAATGATGATAAGGGAAATAACAAGGGGAGAGAATATAAAAATAAAATGTGAAAAGGAAAAGAAAACAATAAACAGCAGTGATGCACAACATAATGATCCTGGGGACAGACTCTTCATTAGAGATTGTAGTGATAGGACAAGGGATAATGGGTTCAAACTTAAACAGGGGAAGTTTAGATTGGATATTAGGAGGAAGTTCTTTACTGTAAGTGTGGTTGCCCAAAGCTGTTGTGAAAGCTTCATCCCTGGTGGTGTCAAAGGCCAGGTTGGACAGAGCCTTGGGTGACGTGGTTTAGTATGGGGTGTCCGTGCCCATGGCAGGGTGGTTGGAACTTAATGATCTTAAGGTCCTTTCCAACCCTAATTATTCTATGATTCTATGATTCTATGAAATGTTCTAGGCTAACAAAGCCCTTGAACTGCATTTTCCATCTGCTTATCACTGTCTTCTAAAATACAGCTTTTTTTTTATTCTACTGGAGTATCTGAGAATCCAGTTCTCCTTAACACTTGCTAGGAGCTGGAGATCACACTTTAGAAGAGGATTTTGAGAGGTGAGGTCTACACTCATGGGACTACGCTAATGTTAGGTGAAGTAAGCTAAGGGTGGGTATTGAATGGCACTGGCAGGACAGAAAGATCAAGGATAAGTCACAAAATGTTGAGCTGTTGATAACAGGAAATACTTTAACTTGGAAAAATCCTTGTGTGTTTTTTCCTCAACACTGTTTTCTCTGTACTTCACTAAGTACACTAAATCTCTAAGGTTTTGATGCCAATGCAGACAAATTATCATTCATCAGGGAAGAAAGACTCACTGCATGAACTCCCAAGAAACCACTTTTGGCATGTTTTTTTTTCTTCTGTTGACATCTGTGACCTAAACCGAAAGTCACTTCTAATGTGTCTGTCTGTGGTTAGGGTAGAGAATAATGCAATGCATTTAAAAGAAATATGTGTGCCTTTATTGATTTGTATTTGACTACACTTCGTGTCTAGTTCTTCTTAGCACAATTTATAAGCACATTTAAACAAGATACTTCTCCTGAGTTTGCATTACCATTCAATGAAAATGGCTACGGCATGCATTATTTTGCATTTGCTGCATTGCAGTTGGGTTGTGCAAGGGCTGAGCAAATGCTGATGATTCATGTGATGATTCCCCAGACTGTTTCAGGAGGTTTTGAGTAATCAGTCCGCTACAAAGCTAAGCCATAAGTAAAGTGATTTGGTTTTGAACATTCCATCCATGAGGCCTAAATAACACAAGTGCTTAAAAAGTGTTATTCTGGAACTGTGTGCTAGTGATATACCAAGTCTGAAATTATGCCTGAAACAGATAATATTACAGAAAAGCTCTAGCTTTGACATTAAAGGCAAGTGATTTTTTGCAGAAGCTAAGGAAAAATACTGAAATTAAACTAATTTGCAGGAGGGGTGGCTTTTTTGGTTTGGATTTTCAGTAAAAACTTAAGGGAGAAAGGAGAAATTAAAATACAAAATAGCCATCAGCAATATCTTAGGTAAGAAATATGATAGAAATTATAAATAACTGCAAATGGAGCAGTAACTCCCTGAAATTTCACTGACTTTGTTACAAATGCCAAACATATTAAAAGCTCAGACTCAGATGTCCACAAATACTCCTTTACATTCATTGCCATTGCATTCCCATATATTCCCTTGCATTATTTCCCTATATTTTTGGACTGAGGATCTCAGCTTAAACACCTGAGGACATACATGAAATATGTGCATATATATGTGAATGTACATCTGTAAATCTGAAAGAAAATTTTTAATTCAGGAGAGGAAAAGAGTTTTCTAAAGCTGAATGAGAAACAGCCTCACCGCTGGGCAGTAAAGTAACTTCTTCACGTGGCACTGAAGCTGCTGGAATTACATGAGTAGGTCTTACTCTTCTCTATGGAAATTTATTTTTAGAGGAGCGTGGTGAGTTGGCCTTGGCTGGCTGCCAGATGCCCACCCAGGCGCTTTATCACTCCCCCTCCACCAACAGGACAGAAGGAAGAAAGTAGAACAAAAAGCTCATGAGCTTAGCTTTTAAAAACAGGCAGATAACTCACCAATTATCATCATGGCAAAATAGACTCAACTTGGGGAAAATATTTTATTGCCATTTAATTGTAACAGAATTGGATAATGAGAAATCAAAACAAAACTAAAACCAGTTTCCTCTCACCCTCCCTTCCTCCCAGCCTTAACTTCATTCCTAAATCTTCTGCTTCCCCCCATGCCCAGATGGGGAAAGGGAAAGGGCAATGGGGGTTGCAGTCACTTCATAACACTTAAATTCTGCTGCTCCTTCCTCCTCATGTTCTTTCCCTGCTCTAGCATAAAGTTCCTCCCACAGGATACAGTCCTTCACAAATTTTTCCAGTGTGGGTTCTTCCCACAAACCATAGTTCTTCATGAACTGCTCCAGTATGTGCCCTTTCCATATGGTGCAGTCCATCAAGAACAGAGAGCTCCAGCATTGGTCCCCCAAGGAGTACAGTCCTTTAAGAATGCTCCAGGATGGCTCTCCCATGTGTCACAGGTTCTAACAGGAGACTGCACCTACATGGGTTATTCTCCATGCCATAGTTCCTACCAGAAGCCTGCTCTGGCAGGGATGTATCTGGCAGGGGTGTATCATGGGATGTATCTTCCTTCAGGATATATCCATCTGCTCAGGTGTTGGGTCCTCTATGGGCTGCAGGGTGAATATCAGCTCCAACATGAATATCTATGAGCTGCATTGGGATAGCCTGCCTCACC